CACACACACACACACACACACACACACACACACACACACACACACACACAGAAGGACGACACTTGTGCAGGGCATCAGGGACACACAAACACACGCACGTTGTCCTCATCATCACCCTATGACATGCATCCACGTACAGCAACAACAACCAGAATAAAAGATAACATTGAAAGGCGAACAATAACACAGAAAGAAGCAGAACATGCGCACTACCACTGCAGCAAGTTCAGAGAGCTCAGCACAATAACGAATTGCATGTCTCTGTATCTCTCTAGGTCTCACAATCTCTGTCTCCCACGCAGCACGGACTGAAGACGACACACGAATGAACCGCACGCCACTACGACTGAAGATAAGACATGCATCTTTCTATCTCTCTCTACCTCCCTCGCAGTCCCACCGACGCAGACACACACACGAATCAAGCAAACTGCACCCCGAAAGAAGACAGGCACATGCAGATCGACACACAAAATGAAGCACATCTCGCTACTCCTCGTCATCCTCAGTGTCGTGAGAGCCATCGCCATCTCCACCAAAATCTTCACCCCTAAGACGAGCCTCCTCAGCATAGTCACTACCAGACATCTCATCAGAGGTGTTGCCATCATCATTGTCATCAGGATCGTCGTCGACCACTCGAGAAGAGACTTTTCGTCTCTCTCCGTCACCTGCCCGAGACCTTGTGTACACACCGCTGACAACGCCACGTCCAACAGGCAACCGCTCAGAAACATTGGGAGTCTCAATATCCATATCTGCCAATGCACTCAGCGCCCATGACTGCTCACGCTGTGCACGACCTTTGCCTGACCCACGTGGGTGGCCTTAAGGGCGACTAGTACTGACTTTCGATCGTCTAGTAGCTGGTTCACCACCTGCCTCATCCCCTCTCAATTTCCTCTTCTTGCCAACACGACTCGTTTTTGTATTGTCAATGATGACAGACGATTGTCGTGCAGGAAGCGGGGGCATGCCCAATGGACTGATCGCACGAGTGCCAGTCCCTGGAGTGTTCAACGTCCCACGACACCGGACAAGACCGGAGCCTTGACTCAGCCTGGATGGCCCGGGTAACTGCACAAAACAAGGAGGAGGTTGGTGAGGCATGCGTGCTGGATTGCCCGATGGTGAACGACTCGTCAAGATAGAGTTGTGTATCCCACCCTGCCTTTCATGATCGGACACGACGTCCAATGCGCCCCTGCCTCCGCTAGAGGCTATCTCCCCTTCTCGCTGGCGCTGTGGTGGCTCCCCGACATGTGCCCCAACAACAACCCGTATAGAGATTGCGCACCACGAGGGGGCAACGGGGGAATCCTATAGAAAGAGCTTCGACTCAATGCGGTCTCTGGCGTAATGCTCTCTTGCAGGTAAACCCTGCCCCTCTCCTCTGTCCTCTCCTCCGCCATCACACCACCCACATCATGCAGCACGCTCTCACCCACCCTTTCAACCACTCTCTCGTGGCCCAATCGTTGATCCACACTGACGTCCAACCTGACGTTGAGCCTCTGCTCAGCCCTCTGCTGCACTTTACAATCTCTAGACATGTGTGCCCTTTTCTCTGTCCTCTGCTCCACCAATGCCTCTACCCTTTCTCCCAGTCTCAGCTTGGTCCTCTGTTCCACCGTTGGTGTAACGGCATCCCTGACCCTTGGCTCCACGCTCTGACCCGCTCTCTGGTATGCACCGTCCCCGACCGTGTGCCGAACACTCTGCTCCAACGCAGACTATGCAACCTCCTCTCGCCTCTCTTGAACTGTGTCATCAATGGTGCAGTCCACCCTCTGATGCACTGTTTGCACCACAGTTTGTGTCATCTTCGGATGATCAGCGATCTGCTCCGCCACCTGCTCCACCCTGTCAATGTCCTTCGTCCTCTGCTGCGGCCTATCGTCCGCACTCTGCCCGATCGTCTGGTGCACCCTTTGCTCCGTCCTCTGCTCCGCCCTCTACGCCGACCCGTTGCTGAGCACCTGCACTTCGAGATCCCTCACTTCGACACACATGGTCAGTGGCACTGCCATACTCCATCCCTGCACAGGCATGCGCCTCTACGATTGTGGTGTTGCCGATCAACCTGGCCCCTTGATGAGATGAATCGGCACGATCATGGGTTCGAGAAGCGGAACCTTGTGTGGACCCTGTCGCCCTCGCCTCTTGCCGCAGAGTCAATCCATGAACGTCGTCATAGGAGCGATCCCTGTCCTGCTCAGCATCCTCTCCGACCAACAACCCCTCAACACCGGTCTGACCTCCCACCCTCTCCCGTAGGGTCCTCACTGTGCGGAAATTGCCACCCACGTATGCGTCGAAGTCCTCGTGAGGGTCTAGGCCCGCCTAGTCATCGAGGACATCGTGCTGGTCCTCGACAACGGTCTTCCCTTTGTGCCTCTCTTGCTGCATGTGCTCCGCCATCTCACGATGCATCCACACGGCATCCACCCGAGGGTCAGGCTCATAATGACCGCCCGTATGGCGAGATGCGGATGTGATGCGATCACGACCATCCTTATGACTGTTCGCTTGAGCGGCCGCCTCCCACTCCTCCTCATCTGCATCGACTGGCAAGACATCTCCATCGTCCACCTCCTCGGGGGGATCCTCAACCATGTCGGCCCACACATCGATGTAGCGACTCTCAGGCCTCCTGCTAGCGTTGAGAAGCTGCATGTTCCAATGAATGAACACAAGCTTCTACACACTCGTGGAGGAGAGGTTTTTGCGCCTCTTTGTGTGGATGAAATCATGAGTCGCCCAATTGCGTTCACAAGGACTCGTTGTGGACAACATGCCGAGCACCTTCTTTGTTATTGCCTACAACCTCGGGTGACTGCCGCCGTGAAGCTGCCACCACAATGCTGGGTGCATCGTCTTGCTGGCAGCGTCCCGAACTGCAACCTTGTCCCACCAATGAGGACCATCCACCAGCCAATATTGAGGATCATCATAGTGGAAGGTCCATAAATCCTCCCACAAGTCTTCGAACGCCTTTGACTCCCAACCTCCACCTAATGTACGACAAAAATAATCGAGTGTACTTTGCACGATGCGTAAGCTGCGATCAGACAACAAAGAGATGTTACGTCGACGAGGATCCAACAAGTAAGCCGCTGCGTGTGCTGGCTGCCGCATCATCGCACATCTGTCTGCCACAATGTCGAAGACCACCTTTTTCTTGTCCTCCCGCAGGCCCAATACATCAATCTTCCTCCGCAAGATGGACTCCAAATCCCACAACCCTGGGGGTAATGAACCATCGAAGTCCATGGCCCTCAAGAAAGTGTGGCAGGGCTCCATCACGTCCATCACTTTCTTGACCTGCTGCCACCAACAATCTTCCTCTGCAAAGTCTGCGTACCTCCGGTTCGTCCACACGTGCGTCTCCTGCCCATCGAGCATCTCTCCAATGATCAGAGGACACGACCCCATCAAGCACCTTCCTCTGCTCATATAGCTTCTCCAACATCACATATGCAGTCCCGAACTGTGTGTCAGCCGGGCGTGTCAGGTCCAAGGCGCCTTTCGCGGATCGATGAATATGGAGCGCCTTTTGCTTGTTCTGCATGAACTTGATGATCTTATGCGCGCTCTTCATCACTTCAGCGGCCCATGGATGTTCCGCAATGTCTCTAAGCAGCAAGCTCAAGCAATGCATCGTGCAAGGGATCCAAGGGACACGTAAGATGGCAGGGTCCGGGTGGTCATGTAGAATACTCGCTGCAACCTTCATAACCTCGGCGTTGTCTGTGCAGATGGCGTTCACATTCTCCACCCATATGTCATCTCGTATCACCCCCTCCCATATCTCTGCCAAACTCACGCTTGTCTTATCTCGTGCCGACATGTCGATGATGCGGATAAGGATTAACCCTGATTGCCCTGCTGCGATGAAGTTCATTATCGGCTTGTTGCGCTGGTCAGTGGCACCGCCAGTCATCAAGGTGCAGCCGGTGTCCTTCCACTTTGCCTTCTTAGGGGCGATGAGTGCTGCAACCTCGTGGTATATAATATCCATCATCCTCGTCCCCACTCCCTAGTACGAGAGCAGGCGTGGTGCTGGTACGATGGACGACTGCAGGAGTGTGACAATGTAGTCCCAATAGTTTTGCGTCTCCTTCAACCATAGCCAGTTGAACGACACGCCACCGCAGTACATTGCAAGTGCCAACAAACGATCGAGATCATTCTGCACTTTGTTTCCCAAAAACGGAAAGGTCGTCTGTCTTGCTCAGAGTGCGACCTGCGTGGAGGCAGTCGATGTGGTAGGAGTCCCTCTTGCCCCCCTCTCGTCACCTCCATCCCTCATACCAACGAGCGCTAAAAAACGCTCATGAACATCATCCGCGGCGTCTCTGGCAGGACAATCTTGTTGCCCACCATCTAGCCCTGCGACACCTGCCCCGTCCTCTCCTCCATCGGTTCGTGCCTGCGTGGCATCCGCATCAGCAGGCGCAACAGTGCCACGTCCAACCAGATCCTCCACGACCAGTTCCTCCTCCATTGCATCTGCATACTCCACGGCCAACCTCTGCGACATAGCGTCCCGAAGTTGTGCGCCGTGGCGCTGCAAGCGCCATAGTATCTCAGTCGTCCGTCGAGGGAAATGCGGTTTCGTTTTCGTGAAGTGTCCACTGCCCTCGATCGTGAACCAGGAAACACCTCATCGCATAGGCGGCAACGCATGAGGAAGTTTTCACCCCCCACCACACCCCACTCCTGACCTTTAACCACCCACTGCCAAACCGCACGTGAACGCTTCAAGTCCTCTTGTTTCCAATTAGGAAGAGGCTCAAAGAGTGGGTATGTCGCAGGTCCGCATGGTCTTCTCGTGGACGCCATGGTGTTTACCACCACGAGGCTGCAGCAAAAACAACAACCGCCGCGTACAACAATGCTGATTGAACGGGTGAGGATGACAACAATATTAGGTGTCGCAATGGATAAGCGACTGCGTGAGGCAAGTAACAAATAATATTATGGAAGTTGCGTCAAAGACCAAACGAAGACCATACGTTAGTGGCGCATGACATCAACCACTTGTGTGGCACAATCAACGAAGAATATCAATGAAGGAACTAAAAAGTTAAAGGGAGGAATTGCTAGAACTTCGCGTCGAAGAAATATACTGGGAAAGCGAAACACATTTATCGTCTATGTATCTATCTATCTACATATCGTCGATATCGATCTACCTATCTATCTATCAATCTACATGTCTATCTTTCCATCTAACTATTCATCTATCTACCCATCTCCCTATCTCCCTAATTAATCAATTAATCAATTAATTAATTAATCAATCAATCAATCAATCAATCAATCAATCAATCAATCAATCAATCAATCAATCAATCAATCAATCAATCAATTAATCATTCATTCATTCATTCAATCAATCAATCAATCAATCATTCATTCAATCATTCATTCATTCATTCATTCATTCATTCATTCATTCATTCATTCAATCATTCATTCAATCATTCATTCAATCATTCATTCATTCATTCATTCATTCATTCATTCAATCATTCATT